TCAATAACAGTTTAACTGTTGAAGTTTGTGGATCTTATTATTGTGCTTTTTGTATTTTTTTCAATAACACTTTAACTGTTGAAGTTTGTGGATCTTATTATTGTGCTTTCTGTATTTTTCTCAATAACAGTTTAACTGTTGAAGTTTGTGGATCTTATTATTGTGCTTTCTGTATTTTTCTCAATAACAGTTTAACTGTTGAAGTTTGTTTTACATGGCTAATGTTAGGAGAAGTTACGTATTCCTCTTCTAATTGTACACATCTGTGTCTTTGTACTGGTAATATTCTAGTTGACTATATGACATGTACTCCAGTTTTGAATTTCCAAGCATTTGTACATGCACACAATCCACCCTTCCTTTTTTTTTTTTTTCCAACCCTTCACACCTCAATCGCAGTGTACATATTCTCCACACTTTTCTTGGCACACTGCCTGTGGAATCAACTGACAATGAGAAGTTGTCAAACAATCAAAAGAGCTTCATTGTATATTGCCTATTTTCTATATTTTCGCCTTGACGATTGATTCAGACTTTACACTCCAAAGAGAAATTAAATGGCAGTGGCTCGAAAGGGTTAAATTTCTTTTTAATGCGTTTTTCTTGATTCGTTTTAGGTGAAGAGCAAGCTGAACCCAAATGCCAAAGTGTTTGTGCCTCAGAAGACGAGGACATCGTCATCATAGCTGGAAATGAGAGCTGCGCATGCCTGCCTGACTTGACCGGGTATTAGATAGACGGACTCCATGTATGATACGATGTACATAAGTTTGCAATTTGTGAAAGAGTTAAAATGGAATCCAGGCGGCTTTGTCCTGTCTAAATTTCTGATGTATTTTAATGACAGATTAAATTAATAAAGCTCTTATTTAATGCAGAGGCTGTTAATCTAGTGATCTTTTTTTTACCAAAGAATTGGCTAATATAAGTAGGTGTCTAGAGCTTTTTTTTTTTCCGTAGTCGGCTCAAATGGGCTTTTCCACCAAGTGTAGTAGACCAGATGAAGCTTTCAAAAGATAAGGAAACAGTAAGAAATGTGAATGGTATCCAATCATGATACAGTTTTGTATCTGATTGGCCGAGACGTTGGTATGCACGATATGTCCTAGTTTTGCATCTGATTGGTCGAGAGGATGGTACAAGTTTTCGAGGCAAACCATTGCAATCCAACTTTACAATTAACAATACTCTTAATGTTATTAGCGATTAATGTCTTTTTCTTTGACCGTCATCATGTAAGTTATGCTAAAAATAATACTACCGGTAATTGAAACCTGAACCAGTTAACAAGGGGTAAGGATTCTTCCAAGGCGAAGTCAATGTCGACCGGTCGATACAGGGCAGACCTTAAAACAAAGCTGGCCCGAACTCGAAAAACACACAGGTAAATTTGTTTAGGATTGTTCTACACCACATTAGAAATTCTTGGTGCGAGGTGGGGGTGGGGGGTTGCTTTGACGGCGAATAGTTTTAGTTTTTTTGTTAATTTAGCATTAGCGAAAGATAGATGGACAGCACGTGCAACACTCCCTTTCATATACCACTGCATCATTGCCAATGATGCCCGGGCCGAAAGCGCAGGCCTTGTCGTGTTTCGTGCCAAAAAATATTTATTTCTACCTTATTCGCAGACTCAATCGTCATAAATACCATTTTCCACACATTGGTGCAAGTTTATACTGAGGAGTAAACAGCTGGGGGGAGTGCATCTGCTTTGCTATCCCACTCTTTCATGAACACTTCCCTTTCTTTGGAAATTATCTCAAAAGGCAGACGTTCTTAAAGATGGGCAGACTGGAATGGTTGAGTATAACAGTTATCCGCTTGAGGGGGACTCCTTCGCAATCGAGATACTACGTTCCAATATTACATGTAATGTATTGCAAGACGCTGAGGGTTTCATGTTCAAAATGTGAAGTGTGAAATGCGCGGAGTTTTACTTATTTTACAAGTCGGTTGAGCCTGTGCTTACTTGAGCCGAGGTCAAAGATGACGGATTTTAAGAAGTGGTGTAATTAACGTTTGGCGGTTAAATATAAGCCTGTTTGACAATTTTAGTCCCAAAATTCAGGTTTTGTTCTTCAAAGAAGGACAGCCCTTGGAGCATACCCGAATAAGCCAATATTCTTTCTATCTTGGACCAAAATTTAGCATCAAAGCCATGGCCTCCATGAGAAATTCTACATTTATTAAGAAGCATCTCGCCTATTTCCCGTAGGCATATTTCGGGTGCAAGCGACGTGGCATTTTACGGAAAGCGGAACTTCTAGCTAACAGGATGTTTGAACTCAGAGGGTACTTCCGCGCTAGTTCGACGAAACGCGCCATAATCTACTGCATATTGTTTATTGCTTTACTACATGGTTGCAGCGCATCTCCTAAAGTCAGGTTTGAAAAAATTTTTTTACAGATTAATGATCATTGTAATTTTTGTTATTATCGTTGGCTTTTCTTGATGAGAAGCGATGGCCAATGAACTCGACAAGTTTCGACTCATGACTTAGGCCTTGTTTATACGTTGCGCTACAGTTGAATTTAATTCAGACGAAATTAATTCAAAGTCCCACAAGCAATTAAATTCGACGATAGCGCGATGTCTAAATCGAATTAAATTCGTCCTTGACGTTTTAATGTGGCGCGTTTATAATGTCAAAATTCAACATGTCAAATCGAGAATCAACATTCAAAAATGAGCTCCATAGCGCCATCTTCTCGTAACGGACAGGTTAATTTGATCAGATACTTTTTAAATTGATTAGGTACCTTTCAAATCGATCAGTTTCCTTCTATATCGAGCAAATTAAATCATTTATATTAAATCAAGTCGGTCAGTTCCCTTCTAAATCGTTGACATTAAATCAAATCGATAATTATACCCAAGATGCTTTGCAGGTATACCATATCCGCTGACAAAACACAACCGCGTGCGTTTCCGTTTCTTCGTGGAGCTCGTCGAAGGACGACAGAGGTAAGAGTAATTATACTTTAATGTTGTCCCTGGAATATGATTTATTCATGAAAGTAACGCATGGTTCTTTAGACATTGTACTCAGTAATATCTCCAACCCATCGAATGCTCTTGAATTCAGATAAAACGGACACCAGATACATTCGCAAATCACTCAAGAACTTCTCGTGTACTCCTTTAGCACAGTAATATTAAATCAGGCTGACAAACCCGAGCCTCTAAAGGGAAAAGAAAAAAATAGTTTTAGATAGGAAAGGAAACGGTCCATGGTTTACATTTGGAGCAGGGGAGGAAAATACCTACCGTATGGGAGGGATTTGTCCAATTGAAAACAGTAGTCTCAATAGTGATGGAGGTGGTAAACAGTTCCCAAATTTAACATTATGAACTGATGTAGCTCTTATTTAAACAAGAAACAAAAGTATAAGTACGCATCCTTATGCATCAGTCAGTTTTACTACCTGTACCCATCCTTCCAACCCCCCTCACCCCCAGGCTAACCCCTGGCATTTGTATTTATAAAAGCTCAATAAGGCGGGGGACTTCAAAACAGTCACCTTTAAACTGCAAAAAGTCTTCAAGTACTGTAAACACGTCATCACTTTCCGATAATAATTCGGCTATTTTAAAGTTCTTTTATTGAGGGTGGAATTGAGTTCAAAATTTTAACACCAAGAGCATTCGATGGGTTGGAGATATTACTGAGTACAATGTCTAAAGAACCATGCGTTACTTTCATGAATAAATCATATTCCAGGGACATATTTTAAAGTATAATTACATTTACCTCTGTCGTCCTTCGACGGGCTCCACGAGGAAACGGAAGCGCCCACGGTTGTGTTTTGTCGCGGAAATAGTATACCAGCAAAGCAACTTGGGTATAATGATCGATTTGATTAGCCTTTATCGCATTTACGCCCACTGTACGAGAGCTCAGCGGACCTTGAAGTTTCGAAACGAGGCTACGGGTCACACAGGTAAAACTTTCAAGTAAAGTCGAAGCAAACGGCTACGTTTGAAGGCATTTTTATTCATTTTCTTAAGGATACAGCGTGTTCTTGTCATGGTTAGACATTGTATTGCGTATGGGTGCAACAGTCTATTCAGTGAATCGGCAACTGACGAGATCCACAAGATTAGGATTTGAAACCGCGGTCTTGCCAAACATGTTTAACTATCAAACTAGAGGCGAACAAAACGCACATAAAAAACCTCTCAAATAAAGAACTTACAAACGACCAGATTAAATTTACTGGCAAAAGGGCTTAAATTCATTCCAACACCCGCTACAAAACAAAAAAAGAACAGACAACAACTATTGTATGACTTTGATCAGTTCGCAAGGAGAATGCGTCTAATTTACATATTCCGAGGGGAGGACCAAAAAAACCGTCCATCCTTGCCACGTCAAATCTACATGGTTACTACCAATACAAAAATCCTTAGCCCTTGAAAGCTATTTAGAAGAGGTTGAAAGTGACCTTTCAGAAATAGAAATTACAAAACAAAAAGATAATTTGCTTTCGGCTGAACGCAAGGCGCTGAGGGCCTTGAAACGTGACTCTGAGTTACACCTCAAAAAGGCCGACAAAGGAACAACAACCGTGGTCATGAACGAACGGGACAAAATTTTGCCGTTCCTTTCCGAAATGACAGCCATTCTTTCAATCTTCCTTTCGTGATGCCAGGAAAATTACCACGAAGAATTTTAACTTTTTCCTCTGCAGAAAAAAACGCAGATTCCAGAGTTATATGGTCAGACATGGAGTGTTTCTGGTGTTTCTCGAGAAACGTTGACCCGATAGCCTCGTCCTGAAACTATAACTCCGCGGACCCATTGCATTGCAGACACAAATGCGATAAGGGCTTTTAATGTGAACGATTTAGAAGGGAACTAATCGATTTGATTTAATGTAAACGAATTAATTTGTTCGATATAGAAGGAAACTGATCGATTTGAAAGGTACCTAATCAATTTAAAAAGTATCTGATCAAATTAACCTGTCCGCTACGAGAAGATGGCATTCGATTTAGCAAAGGTTTGTTGATTGAATTGGCGCTATGGAGCTCATTTTGGAATGTTGATTCTCAATTTGACATGTTGAATTTTGACAGTATAAACGCGCCATACGCACTAGCGTCGCGTCGAATGAAATGCATACATTTTCTTAATGTATTTCAATTTATTTCAAAATGACACCTCTGACCACAGGCACTGCATTTGGGAAGCGAATTAAATTCGATCGAGTTGATTTCGACCAGAGTTAAACTCTGTTTCGACGCATAAAACCACGCCATGATTTACATCGACGGAACGACGAATTTAATGGAATTAAATTCGTCTGAATTAAATTCGACTGTAGCGCGACGTATAAACTAGGCCTTAGGTCTTACGACATAAGTTTTCAGGAGGAGGTCTGTTCTTCTTAAGCCGTAGAAGTGAGAAAAAGAGCGTGTCCAAAATTTTGATTTATGATAATTTAAGCAGATTGTTTACATTCAGGTATGAGCTTCAATGCTCGATTCTGGCTTCTCATAAGCTTAATCAGTACCGTGGTTCCAGTTCAATTCTAATTCAAGAATACTGTCTAAATTTAGTGAGCTATATGGACGGTTTGCGGTAAAAATGGTTCGTTTTTGACGTTTTTCGATTTATAGTAATTTTTCAGCCATTTAATGGTTGACAGCTAAGAACCGGCATGCCACAAAAATATTGGCAATGCGGTTTCTATCACTCGGTGCAGTTGGCTGGTTTTGTTCGGTTCGACTGTCTTGTGGAAATATCACTATGAAGTCGTTTATAAAAGTTCCAATAGTTTTTGACATCTTTCGTGAGGGGTCTAGCTCTATCCTAAATAAGAACACTACTAAACTTCCCCTTGTCAATCGATGAGAGCAGTTTGTGCTGGATTTTCAACCATTTTGAGCAGAGTCGAACAATCAATATTGAAGTTCGTGACTTTTGCGCGTCAGTTCCATGCCCGGCTAATACGCTCGTTTGTCAGTTCGGTTCTGTCAGCCGTTGTGTTGAGGTTTTCTCAGTTTCTCCTATCAAGACGAATTGCTCACGATCTGAGGCAGTTGACCTTGTAAACCACCCTTTGTCTTTTATTTGATACGTACTTGTGTTTTAAGTCAATTAGTAAATTTTGTAAGAGAGTGCGTTTCGGACGTGCCTTGTTAGGTGCGCTATGCATTGTCCGCCTTTATTTATGGTGACAACCAGCTCTGGTTCGCTTTCATCCTTATTTTTGAGTTGACTGCTTGGGTCATTTATTTTTTTCGCAACGTAGTCCTCCTTCGTGACCTGCTCTGGGTCCAAAACCTCTTAACTTTCGAGTTACACTCATTTCCAGGCCGTTTGCGTACGTCATCATGACTGTCATGGTTCCATATAATTAGCATACAGCGGCCTTCCGTTTCATTGCAAACGTTTTCGTTCTTTCCTGATCGAGCTGTTCGTTGTCAAAGGGATCTTCCGTTAGTCGTTATTGGCAAAGGAGCGAGGAAGCACCCGCTGAATATCGCGTGAGGTAACAGAAGTCGTTGCTTTCTATTGACCATGAACTTACATAAAACTAGATAATAAACAGCTTCATTATTTGCGATACGCACCTTAGATATGAATACTAAATAAGCTTTACCTTGAGGGCTTTCAGTTTGGAAACAAATCATATGTATTCAGTGCTCGATCTTTCGTTCAAAGTCAAGTTTTTTGCCTGTTCAAGTACTCATGAAAATCGCTTGCTTTGGTACGTGATCTCATAAACAAAATCTTGCGCGCTAAGGAAGCGAATTTGTTACATTGGTTTCATCATCTATCTCACTTGAAATACATGACGCTTCTGCTGTAAAAAGCATTTTCCGTACACACTCAGTTAGGCAATTGATGACGAAATCTATGCAAAATATCGGCTGTCAGAGCATGAATTCTTGGATCACGTAGAACTGGAACGAAGTAAGGGAGTAATTTTAAAAATTCATGAACTGACCGAGAAAACTTAAGTTAAAAATAGCGTAAAAACAAAGCTCTGAGAGGGTCAAGTTTACACTGGAGACAAATTGCGAGAGATGAAGCGAAATGGAGCATCGAAACTCTTCCTGGATGGGTGCTTAGCATCGTGGGTGACTTTTGAGTGTTTTCTTTTTTAATATCAACCTTATTAAGTCGACATCACAAGTTTTGAAGCTGATTGTTTTCTGTCGTGAAAGTCACATTGTTTGCTCAACCCGCCCTGGATTCGTATTACATTTCAATTTTCTTTAAGTGGACGTTACCAAATGTCACACAATGAACGTAGTAACTTATCGACCAAAAGGGGACTGAGTTAAGTGAACGAGACAGAACGAAACAAATCAAACAAACAGACGCATTATGCTAAGCGAGAGGCCACGAAAAATTGTTCCTTGTCGTTCTAGCTGTACCCTGCAAGAATTCTTTTGAGATCACACCAAACAGGTTTTCTATACACGAATTCGTGCAAACATTTCAAGTGCGTCCTAAAAATTCCTGTTAACACCCCGTTTTCGTTATTCAACTTAGAAAATCAATGGTGAAATATATTAACGAAAAGAAAACTCTGAGTGCGGATTTACTCGAAATTTCCACGGAATTACGGCTGTTTCGCTTTCGCCGGTATGGTGAAAATAACGCACGTGTCTTCATGCTGGCATGATGTAAAATCGCAAGGACTTTCTCTACTTTACTGTTGTCTTGGGGGAGGGGGATTGTACTATTTCAATTTGTCTTGGGAGGAGAGGGTGAAGAGAAAGGCGGGAGGAAAAGGAAAGGTGTAGGGTAAGTTGCTCTAGTAACACTCTATAATGGGGAATTCAATGTATTTTTCCTTCGTTTGCACGTGACGTCATAAAAATAAGAAATAAAAAATAATCAGGGTTATTGCAGTTTACTCTCCGAAAGAAGAAAGACCCCACGATAGCACACCTAAACGTTAAGCTTGTGGAAAGGTTTCGTGGGGTTCTCCATTTTTAAAGTAGAGACATTTCTACGGTAATTTCGTAGTTTCTCGTCACTTGCCATTGAAATAGTGACCCGGAAAGCTAAGTTATTGATTGTAAGATGTAAGGATATCGTGAGACATTTTGTTCCCTGAGCATAAGAAACATTATCAAAAATTATGTTCAGATGAGTTTTCGCAAGTTCACAATTGATTATGGCGCGCCGAAGCGGACAAAAGTACTTGAGTATGGATATATAAAACTTGTTTTGTAAAATGTATGACTTGTTGCGAAAATATAAAGCTTGTTTTGTAAAATATACGACTTGTTGCGGAAATATAAACTTGTTTTGTAAAATATACGATTTGTTGCGAAAATATAAAACTTGTTTTGTAAAATATACGACTTGTTGCGAAAGTATAAGACTTACGTATTATGCACAATCCTCGCAGTAGAAGCGCTATTTAAGCAATAGCGAAAATCAGGCCTGTACGGGATTCGAACCATTGACCTCTGCGATACTAGTGCAGCGCTCTACCAATTGAGCTAACAAGCCAACTGGGAGCAGGCCGTTAAGTTGATTCGTAATAAACCCGTGAAAGTGATAGATCAGATACAATGAAATATATGAAGTTCATATATTTGGAACTGCGGTATTAGATTCGTATGATGCACGATCCTCGCAGTAGACAGCGCTATTTAAGCAATAGCGAAAATCAGGCCTGAAAAAAATCAGGCCTGTACGTGGTTCGAATCCCGTACAGGCCTGATTTTTTTCAGGCCTGATTTTCGCTATTGCTTAAATAGCGCTGTCTTCTGCGAGGATCGTGCATCATACGTATCTAATACCGCAGTTCAAAATATATGAACTTCATATATTTCATTGTATCTAAGTATAAGACTTGTTTTGTAAAATGCAAGACTTGTTGCGAAAATATAAAACTTGTTTTGTAAAATATACGACTTCTTGCGGAAATATAAACTTGTTTTGTAAAATAGGCGATTTGTTGCGAAAATATAACACTTGTTTTGTAAAATATACGACTTTGTATAGGTATAATACTTTAACAGCGCCAGCGATTTGAATGTTCAGCGGTAAGTGGAACACAGCCCACCGTTCCTCAAGCCTCAAAAAAGATGACGGATGAGTTAGGAGCCTTTCTTTGACTGTTAGAACTTGGAAAACAAATTTGCGAGGACGTTAGACAAAACTTGTTTGTGGCAGATAAAGAAGCAGCTGAAAAACTGAGGAATTTACCGCCTCCCGGTTAGCTCAATTGGTAGAGCGCCGGACTGTTGTGCGGGAGGTCGTGAGTTCAAATCCGGCCGGACCAACACTCAGGGTCTTTAATTAATTGAGAAGAAAGTGCTGCATTTGTAGTAATATCTGCGAATGGTTAGACTTTCTAGTCTTCTCGGATAGGGACGATAAATGGAGGTTCCGTCTCTTGCAGAGTTGGGGTAGGAGACGTTAATTTCCCACACACGAGATTACTGTGTGATGGATGTCCTCCCCAGGGTGGGATGGGTGGGTAATAAAGGGGGTTAGGTGTCAATTGGAACGAAAGTTCTGTTCCTTTCTCCTGCCATTCCTGTGGCGGATCAATTAAACTTAAAACTTAAAGGAATAACTCTGTTCAACTTATCATCGCACTCGTCATTACAAGCAGACAACTACCAATAGAAATCAGCATGCGCCCTGCTACAAAGCAGCTGACCACAGACAGTAGGCGCCCTTAAAGTATTATTTTTCACCGCGAACAAGTCTTATCTGCAACAAGTCTTATATTTTACAAAACAAGTCTTGTACTTTCGCAACGAGTGCTATATTTTACAAAAAAAAGTCTTTTTTTCCGCAACAAGTCTTATATTTTACAAAACAAGCTTATATTTCCGCAACAAGTCGTATATTTTACAAAACATGTTTTATATTTTCGCAACAAGTCGTATATTTTACAAAGCAAGTCTTATATATCCATACACAAGTATTTTTGTCCGCTTCGGCGCGCCATAATTGATAACTAATCACTAAGACTGAGGCGAATGTTCGTGTCTCCTCATGGCCGCCATGCTGGCTTCCCTTGGAAGGACACCAACATGGCGTCCCTTGGAAGGACACCAACATGGCGTCCCCGTACAGAGCTCTATAAATTTGAATCAGACATTTTGGTGAATAACTCATCAGCCTAAAAAAAAAAAGCCGACAGACCTAATACCAGGGCAAATTGTTTAATTATCAATCCACTACAAAAGATCACTCTCTTTGCGTTAGGTATTCAACAGTTTTTGTTTTACATTTCGATTACGTGACAGAGCAGACCAAAGCCTTGGATAGGCAAACACCATTTGGGCTGACAACCCATACAAGTGAAGGTGCAGTCTGATCGTCCGGGTGAGTGTAGTCCTGAGAAGGACTGTTGTCGGTGGTAGTGACTGACGTTTCTACAACCTGTGCGGAAGTCATCATCAGAGTCAAGTGTCAGAGTTCAGTCATCATCAGAGTCAGAGTCACTTGACTCTGATGATGACTTCCGCACAGGTTGTCGAAACGTCAGTCACTACCACCGACAACAGTCCTTCTCAGGACTACGCTCACCCGGACGATCAGACTACACCTTCACATGTTACCCCCGGGTTCAAACCATTTACTGCAACCCATACAAGATTTACGTTTTTGAGTTTGATATGTATCAATGATTCGGTGACCGTAGTGTTTGAAAATTTATCATAGAGACGAGTATCATATTTTGAAAATTTTTCACTGAAACTTTTTCTCTTGAAAGTAAAAGGGAAAGACTGAAGAATCCTCTTGCATTGTTAAGATTAGTATTAGTATTAGTTGCTATGATAGTATCGATGAGAACAGTTCTTGGGATGCAGACATAATTCCTGATTCCCTTTGGAGTTTATCAGGTTTCTCTCGTCAATCTTGATTTATAATGGTCAGGTCATAACCACCTGCATCGTCGTCACGAAATGATCCCGCCACATTCATTACAAAGTTTGCCAGTCATATGAACGTCTCCACTTAACTGAACTTTCCTGTAGTCGCTCCAGATCATTCAGATGTTCCCTCTCACGAGTGTAAGCGCCCTGAAATACTCAGTGGCGGATCCAGACCTTGAGCTTAGAGGGAGGGTGGGAGGGAAAGGCGGCGGCGGGACGCTCCCCTAGATCCGCCATCACCAGTACATCGGCATGAAACCTTGGATCATTTCAGTAGACCAGGAAGTCGTCTTTTATACACTGCATTTCCTTAAAAGGGTCTGAGCTCTGCGACATGCTCTCGAGCGTTGTCCCTGACTACTCTAAATCCTGTTTCCAAGATCTCTTCCATGTATCGAAGTTTTTAAAAGCTGGGACCTCGGTGTTCTTGCCACCGGTCTCAACAGTCGTTCTATCTGGAAGTTGTAGGCAATCAGTGCTGATTTTACCACTTCAGTTCGTGACGACGTGATGTTGAGGCATATGACAGAGTTGGTTATGTTCAACAAGATTGACAAGAGAAAACATTACTTTAGTGTGTCCTAAGTAAAAGGAGATCAGGATTTTACTGAATAACTAAATAAACTAA